TAAAAAATCTTAGCTGGATGCATTATGGAAGTATCGACTACATCTAAAATCCTCCTATACGTATTCCTGCCGTTTGACAAAGCGGTTATAGTTGATTAAACTCATGTATATATTTTTGTGGATGTTTCCTTGGCCTTGGCACATTAGCCGGTAGATTAATGTATTTTACTCCTCCATGACATCCGGCCTCGGTAACATCATCTTATCACCACCGGTCGACATGGAGTAAGGCTGAATTTCCTTCTCTGCCATGTTGAAAAGAAATTTTGAAAACAAAGAATTAGTCAACCATTAAATATACTCCTTACTACCAATGACGGAATTCATTATAGGGTGCAGTACAATTTAGAACGTTTAGAGACTTTTTGAAATTTCGATGATTGATTTGAACCACAGTATAAATTTTTTAAGTGAATAATGCCATGTTCTGACGGGCATCCGAACAACGTAGTTCGCTCTCAGAATTACGTACATGAATTAACCCGTTCATACAACACTATTCATAATTCATATCATCAGAGTTTTTTATTTCATACTTTTTGTTTCTTGTTTTACACCAAATATGTAACATATTTTAGTGAATTACATAGGGATCTAAATAGAAAAAATAATTCTCTTTCTCCTGACTATAGTATGAACCCATATCTATTTACTTTTCATTCATGTTTTCCATTTTTTCTGAAAATGTTGTTGTTTTTAATACATTTTTATATTTTCTCAATTCAAATGTCACATACTGTCACAAATAAAAATTTGGAGAATTTTTTGTTTGAGTTGCCCCACATTTGTTTCTTGTTTTGTACGCTAATTAGAACCAAGGGAAAAGAAATGCATATTGCATTATGTAGAAAACAAAATTTACATCCTGCTGCATATATAAAAACTATACAATTTTTTACTTTTCATTCATGATTTTCAATTTTACTGAAAAAGTTTGAAAATTTCATAAATATTTTCAAACTGTCAAAATTAATTTATTTTCGATAAATACTCTCAATTGTTAGGGATGGGACAATTTTATTGGTTATTCAGAGAGTGATTCGAATTGAACAACGTACAAAAGTCGGTGTTCGCTCAGACAATTTTGTATGGGGAACTAAGTAATTCCTTCATAATTAAGGGTCGAACAACGAATGAGAGAGCGAACAACGCTCGTCTGGACATGGCATAAAACGGCTTTGGAAAGGCAGTGGTATTTTAAGACAAGATTTAGAATAGGGGGAGAAAACTGCCTGGGAATATATTGAGAATTGATTAAACATTTTAATTAATATATAAAAAAGGGGGTTTCATCGGAATTAATATTATTATCCATTTGGAACCCTTTTTTCTAATATGGAACATTTTGCCATTGTAAAATATTCGACCGGGCCGAATTTTGGATACCCTCCACCATACAGAGAGATACTTGCAATGAAAATATAGGGAACATACCAAAAAGTGGGCATATAACGATAATTGTACAAACCGATTTATGTAAACCATTATGTATACCAAATACAATTTGAGCAATTTTTTATCAGCCTTATTCTGGATATTCGCTGGGAGATATCTCGCATGCACAAAAATTTTCGCTTTCACATTCTCGCCTTATTCTGAATGAATAGGGAGACGCAAAAATGCGAGATGCGGATTCGAGTTTTCGAAAATGGTGGTTGAAAAAAAGATTCGTGTTGCCATATTATAATTTAAGTTGTAATGTGTGTTGCCATATTGTAATTTAAGTTGTAATGTATGTTGCCCCATTGTATTTTAATTGTGTAATATTTTTCAATATTTTATTTATTGATTATTTTATTAAAATTTGTTACTTGTTATTGTTGTTTAAACTTTATAACAATACAAATGTGAAATATCAAGAATCTGCTTTATAAATGCTTTGTAATTAAAAGAAAATTAATTATAGTTTGAAAATATGACAACCTACAATATGACATGTGAAACAGCTGTTCATTGTTTTGATGCAATTTGGTACAACAACTACAATAGATTACAAATAAAAGAACATTTTTTATGATGGCAAAAACACAGGCACATAATTGTGTGCCTTTTAACTTAATTTCGATATTTTATCTCTCCAACTTCTTAAAGTTACCTACTCCTTTATTTCTTCCTTCAAATAATGCAAACGATAATTTAAAAAATATATATTTTTTGTAGTTTTTTTGGGTTGTTTCATAATTTGTATTTAAGTTTTCACTGTTAAGCGGCTCATTAGGCAAATTTGGTTTTTCTATATTTTTTTCTTGAGAGACAGATCCTCACCCAAAATGTCTGTTTTTCGCCTCCCAAATGCATCAAACTCGACTTAAATATTCATTATTGCCTTTATACATTCCTTGGCAATATTTGGTTCAGCAGGCATCATTATCAATAGGATTTCCAAAGGCATTTTATTTGCTGTTTTCCAGATAAATATTTGCTTATTATAATTTATAATATTCTAAATCGTCATAGAATATGTATTGTGTTAATATTTTTCATAAAAATATTTATAACTTATGTTTTTGTAGTCAACTCACTTTGAATTTATTAGCGAAAAATTTCGCACAACATTTCATCTCATTCTCCTACTCCCTGTAATCCAGAATACCTAATTTTTCCCCAAAGCGGAATTTTTCGCTTTCGAACATCATTCAGAATAAGGCGAAAGCGAGAATGCGAAAAAATTCACACAAAAATGTTGTTCAGAATAAGACGAAGGGGAAGAGCGTGTAAATTCACGTGGAATTGACATCCAGAATAAGGCTGTATATTTATTTTTTATGCTATTGGTCCGCCAATATTGATTATATAGTGTAGGAAGTAGCGAATATTTGGGGGATATCATTATATGAAGGCTATGACTATTTTATATCAAATATTTCCTTCAGGAGGTATCATTATATAAAGTAGATGCCAAATGTCTGTCTATATATTTCATTATTGTCGGGTTTGAGTTTTTTTATCACGATATCTTTAGAAGGCGGAATGATTACAACTGATGGCTTAATCGTCTTTGTAGGTTAAAAACTGGATATTCCCAGTAACGACACTCAAGAACCCCAAAATGCTGAAAATTACGGGGTGCCCTTATATGGGAGCTATGCATAAACGTGAACTGATATAGCCCATCTTCGAACTTGACCTGCCTGCAGACAAACGACGACTCTAAGCAAAATTTTGGCGTTCTATCCCAATTCGTTTAGACACTAGAGTGATTACAACAGACAGACATCCTTAGATCGTCATAGAATTTTACGCTGATCAAGAATATATACTTTATAGGGTCGGAAATGATTATTTCGATGCGTTACAAATTGAAAATAATATATAATATGAAATATAATATACCCTCCATACTATGATGGAGGGTATAAAAAAACACAATCAACATTCTCTTATTTAAAATAATTTATATTTATTTTTTTATACGTTTTAATAAAACTTGTTTTACATATCATGTTTGTTGTGTATTTTTATGAATTAATTAAAAATAAAAAATATATAATTGAGAAAAAATGTGTGTTTAAAAAATTACATACAAATAAATTGCTTTTGTGTGAAATATGCGATATTTTAGTTTAAATCTAAATGAAATTCGTGTAACATACACTTGTAGTAAAATGTTGTTGACCATCTTTTTTTTGGAGTGTTTGTGTAGCACAGACGTATTTTAATTTAGATATAAAAAGAGTAGGAATTTTTGGAGTATTGCGGAAGTGACGTTTGTGTGTGGAGGGACGAATTATATTTGTTGAAACAGTGTTAAGTTAAAAAAAAAATGGTCAAACTAAACAAAAAACATTCATTAATTTATTAATAAAAGGAATAATGTGGGCGTAATGAAAGAAAACTAATGAATTAACATAAAAAATAACTTAAAAAATATAAATAATAAACGGAATAAACGTGGGCAAAACAAAATAATTTTTTAAAGATGGGAATTTTGTGAAAATCAGTCATGTTAAGGGTTGTGGGTGAAGAAAATCAAAAGTTAAGAATTTGTTTTTATTTAAAGCAAACATTTTGTGTTTTTAAACTATTTAAAAAGAAAGGCATTAAAGGGAAAGGAACTTGTTCTAGATTATAGGAGGAGGAGAATAGCAGTAAGGAAGAAATGTATCGCAATATTTATGTAGCCAGCAAATGCGATTGTTTTGTAAATATTAAAAAAAAAGAATTAAAAACTATAAAATACAGCTGTTTTTTTTCTGAGTCATATATTTGCCATTGAAGCAAATTAAGCCAAATCAAGCTGCGCCTAAGACCCGAACCTAACCAAAATCCTACCATGTATATTTCATATTAATGTTTTTTTCTTCTTTTGGTAACAAAAAGCCGCGCCGCGCCTATAGTTTTGTTTGGAATATTTATGGACAACAATGAAACGATTTGTACTTCCCAAAGCTACTGGTTTTGTTTTCCCCTTAAACATCACAAAACTTCTGGTGATGTTAAAGAAAACAAATCTTAAATTAAAAACTGCCTGCTATGATGATAATGGGTGAGAGGTGATTTTGAAAGAATTGGTAATTCCATGCCAAAATGAAAATTTCGTTCTTAAAGCATTAATTTTTGTACTAATTAAGAGGGATGGGGGGATTTAAATTAAACAATTATGCTAACTATTGTTACAATCATTAGGGACAAAGAGACAGACAAGAGAGAGTAGGAAAAACTGTCATCTAGGAAATCTTCTCTCAAACCTAAAGAAATTTTTCGAAATCATCCCGGTGGGTACTCAACTCACGGTTAATAATTAACATTAAAATGTCAGCGTTTTCACATTAAAATCATGCATTATATATAATTTGCTTATACAATTGTTTTATGACACAATAAGTTCTTGTTAATATTAATTAACACTACTCTTATGATTTCTTAAATGGACTTTTGTTTTCAAATTTCTTTCGATGAAATTTTTCACACTCCCTTTGTGTGTTCGACGACTTAGAAGAAGAAGTAGAAATATTACAAACAAAGAGTCAAAAAGTCAACCACTAAATGTAATGATATTATTTACTCTTTACTGCTAATGATGGAATCCATTAGAGTACTGTACAATTCAGAACGTGTGGAGACTTTTTGGAATTTCGATGCTTGGTATTTGGTATAGACAGCCTTCAGTTTGGCATTTGGTGCATTGCGAGCCACAGTGGCGATTTTTTTGGCAATGGGTCTTAAATGCTCGGGTGAATAGCGTGAGTACCATTCCAAGGTAGAATTCCAGTGTTTGTTATTAAGACCGGTGGCCATGTTGGAATTTTCTTTCAGGAGATTTAGGGAGAGGAAAAGTGAGGCAGCAGCAATCTGGAAAAAAACGAGAAGAAAAGAATACAAGGTTATTATATATATATTATACAAATTTAATAAAAAATTAAAAAGAAAAATATCAATGGTCCTTAAAAAATCGATTTGTAAAATATTCAGAAGCTTATTTTTTAATATTTTGATGATGCTTTAACAGTATTAGTAAAATTTACCCAATATCATGGTTTAAAAAGGCCCTTAAAATTCTTTAAAACAAATAAAATGTTTTTTTTTTTTAATATGCTTTGAAAAATCTACTCCTCACATAAAGTCTATAAAAAATATCTCAAAACGTCTTTTGGAAAAAAATATTCTTAAAATAAATCCACTACTTACTTCAGATGGCTTATAGTGAGACATATCATATTCAATCATTGCCAATTCCAAAAAGTATTTCGACATGGCATGATGATTATCCTCAGCTTCGGCAGCTTTTGAGAAACGGCGCAAGAAATGTATGGGCAATGGTCGCGACAAATTGCAATCCAATGCCTTGAAGATTTGCAATTCCATTTGGCGGATTTGTTTGCCGGTGTATGTGTCATCGGTGATATAGATGAAATCGGCAATGGCTGGTGGGAACAACTCTTCGTATTTGGCAGCAATGAAGAGTGCAGTGACACCGACCAATTGCAAATGTGAACGTTTGGTATCCTTAACAGCTTGCAAATAACGATCAATTATCGCCACAGCCAATTGGAATGTTTCGGCAGCCAAATGGAATTGTGTATGAACTTCGTTAATCCAATCAATTAGAACGGCACGCATTTTAGCATAGACCTCAGCTTGACCTTCTAAATGATTTTTCATAACCGGTTGTTCGGCTTCCAATTTGAACAGGTACGAATAGATGTCGTTGACATAGTCAGATACTAAGACCAAATTTTCCGCATCACCTTCATCGATATCCTTAACATCGTCCAATAATTTGGATGAATGTGTTTGTACGCTGACAATTTTCAATTTGTCAGCCGATGCACTGGTGGCGGAAGATGTTGTTTCGGTGGATTTGGTTGTTGGTTCTTTGCGGGTTAATGTAGCAGCTGCTGAATGTGATTTTACAAGGGTTGGTTTTGTGGCGCCAGCAGCAGAGGCATTTTGTGTAATGGCAGCTTTAATTTTTGTTAATGATTTACGGGATAGATTGCTATCTTCACGGCGCAGGGATGGTTCGACGGTAGCATCCGTTTCAGTCTTGTTGGTTGTTTTGTTGATAACTAGAATAGAAAAACGAAAACAAACAGAATTTTACAAAATATTGTAAATTAAGACTTTATATAGTTGATCTTACTTTTAACTTGTTGCACTTTGTTTTCGACCAGTTTTGTGGTCAGCGTCTTAACTTTATTATGTCCGACAAGCAAGTGCGAGGTTGCCGATGCATGTCGTTGCAGTCCACCCAATCCGGTGGTCGCCGTGGTTCCCAAACGCACGGAATTGGATCGGGTTAATACTTTACGCTGGGCTGCGGCAGCAGTTGGTACCACTTCGCCGGTTGCAACATTTGTACGTGTAGCACCGCCGACTGTGGTCGTAGTTGTTGTCTTCTTCCAGTGTGTATCCACACGGGCCTTGGTTGCACGCAATGCATTTTGAAGTTTGGTATCCTTCAAGCTGTAATGGAAAAAATATATATTTGTTTTAGTGAAAATTAATTGAATGGAAATATAGCAAGTAAAAACGATTTTTTTCCTTTGCCATTATGTTCAAAGTATCTAAAATTACTGGGGTTCCTGAGAAAATACTTATGTTATGATAGGACTTTGAACATACAAGAAATGATTTTTGAATTATCAAAATATTGAATAGTGGGGGCTACCGTTATATTGTGCTTACCAAAAAGGGTTGAAAAACGTGTCTGTCCCAAACCGCCAAAATACCGATTATTGGGGGGTTACTATTGTATCAGTATTAATAATTTTGGGTAGTGATATTTGACAACCAAAGAGAATACGAAAAAAAAAACAATAATAATAATAATAATAATGAAAATTAAAATGTCAGCCAAATCGGCTAAAAAACGTGTTCAAAATCTCCATACTACCCAATATTTGGCGGTACCATTGTATCGGGGCTACACCAAATCATGCACCGATATACCTCATTTTCAGTACCAACTTTCCTAGGAGTAATATCAATCCCAGTGCAAATTTTTAAAGCTCGATTTCAAACATTGCGACCTCTATCGTGATTTCTATAGAGAGACGGACACTCATAACTCGACATAGTATTTTATTTTGAACAAGAATATATTAGAGGTTGGGGAAAAAGAAACCCATTATTTTTTAGGCAGATGGCTGTACTGATCGATTTCTCGTAAAGTATCGATCAAACAATGTCAAATTTATGTTTGGTGCATTCAGTTGTGAGTTACGGGGTGTTAAAAATGCAAGTGAATAAAGAGAAAAGTCGGTACATTTTACAGTTTTTCTTTGACAAAGACGAAAAAGCAAGTCAAGCGGCTAAAATTATGAATGGTGTTTATGGTTCCGATACTGTAAAAGCCAATTATGTGTAATTTTGGTTTCGTTCAGGAATATTTGATGTTAAAGATGCACCTGATTAAAAATGTCGGTAAAATCGGAGAAATGATCGAAGTTGACCGGCATGTTAGCAGACGTAACACCTGTGGGACTAGAAGGGGATTATTTATTATGAGTTACTTTATATGGCCAAACGCTAAATTCTGATCTCTACTGTCAACAACTGGACCGTTTGAAGATAGCAATTAGCCAGAAACGGTCAGAATTGGCTAACAGTAGAGGTGTCGTGTTCCACCAGGACAACGCTAGGCCACACACATCTATGGTGACTCGCCAGAAACATCGGAAGCTTGGTTGGGAAATTCTAATGCATCCGCCACACAGTCCGGAATTGGCATTAAGCGATAATCATATTTTTCTTGCATTGCTAAATTTTTTAATGATAAAAAATTGGTATCTTGGTTGGATTGTAAAAATCGAATACTAGAGTTTTTTGCAAATGAGAGAGACATTATGAAGTTACCTTTAAAATAGCAACAAATCATACAACAAAACGATGCATATCGGACATTCCGAAGCTTGTTAAATAAAGTTCTATAGTTCATATAAAAAATAATGGATTTATTTTTACCCCAACCTAATACTTTATGGGATCGCCGATGAATATATCGATGTGTTGCAAACGGAATGACGAATATAATATATATATATATATATATATATATAATAATTTTTAATATAAATAATTTATAATTTTTTTCGGTAAAATATTAACCATTCTGTGAGCGAGGTATCAGAAGAAATTTTCCGATATGCCCCATGGACATGATCTAGTATCATGCTATGTAAAGCTTGAAAGGAACTATTACGATATGCAAACTTTAATTTTTTTCCGTAAAATATTAACCATTCTGTGAGCGAGTTATCAGAAGGTATAGACCGATATTCCGTAACGTCGAACATGATTAAAGCTTGAAACCGCTGTTCAATGCAGCATACTTTTGTCATATTAAAGTTTATACGCATTTGTTCATTGACCTTTTATACTATAGAAACGTTTCCAAGACAGTATCTTCTTCAATTTCTAAAGGCCAGATCAAGATCCCATGAATCATTAATAGGAAGATTGTCTCACATTTTCAGATGTTATAACTAAAGCAAGTTTCAATACATTAAAAAACTTTATGCAGGTCCTACTACTACTGCAGAACAGTTTAAGAAGTTAAAGACCATGTTGCAACAACAAATGGCTTCCATACAAACCCCAACTCTTGAAAATAGAAATGTTCCAGATTAATGGGACCATCCTGATCATGGGGATTTGTTTTAAAAGTGACTTTTATTTCAACGGAACAATAGAAATCTTAAAAGGATAACTTCATCATATGATTATCTTTCAAATTTTCTAAAATATACCGAAGAGGCTTACAGGGTAGCTCTTGCTTATTGCACAATTTTTCTAATTTTCAACTTAAAAAAAATGGTTACATTCTGATTATTTTGCTTTTGTTTGTGTTTCGAATCAAAAATGCATACAATTTTTAATTAAAAATCATGATCATATTAAATTCTTTAGTTAAAATAAATAAAATCGTAGCCTTCAAAAGCGCGCCACAATGGGTTATCATGAACACAAAAACAAATCTACGTGATCTCTCACACACACTCTCTCAATAATAAAAAGCCGTTAAACTGAACGAACACCGAGTTTCTCTATTCCACTTTTATCTCTCTCTCACACGCACACAGAAAAAAATATTGGACAATTTGTCAGATGCCACAAACAAGAAAAAGGTGAAAAAAGAAAATAAGAATAACAAATGGATAGAAAGGACGGATTGTTGTTGTTTTTTTTTTTTGGGTATGTGAAAATGATTGAAACAGTTGATAAACATCCCTGGGAGGCAAAATTGAAAACAAGGAAAATAAAAAGATACCATCTGTAATAATATATGACAATGAAATGCATTTAATAAAAAGAAATAACCCCCAGCTGTTTGTGAGTATACGTTCTTTTTGGGGGGAATGTCATACACATAATCATTACTTACTCCTTTTGTGCTGCATCCTTGGCGGCAATGGTACGTACAACACCACGATTCTGTAAGTCTCCCAAGGCGGCACGTTTAGTAACCTCTGTTGTGGAGACACCAATTTTCTTGACTTGCTTGAAGGCAGCAGACTCGTTCTGGAAAGGGTAGAAAAGAAGATAATTTGAATAGAAAAAATATTATTTTGAATGGAACACAATTCTAGGCAAGACATATTTTTTAAATTAAAAAAAAAGAGAAAATTGAATTTTTCATTTTCCTAAAATATGTCGGAAGAATTGAAAAACAAAATGCCGCCATATAATATATGTGTTGTTGTTCTTGCAGTTGGTTGTTGGCAAATTGCAAGATATGTATGTTGTTTTTGTTTTCCAACAGACATGGAGAATAGTACCGCAAGTCTATGTACAAAACTCATGAAATTCCAATGGAATTTTTGGAATTCCCAAGGTGTTTGTTGTTGGCAAAACGGTAACATTCCCAGAGAGATTGTGTATTTCAACACATTTTTATGTATGGCGTGCATTTTTCAAAATGCCTAATTTCCATTTAGATTTTTAATACGGGTCCTTTGAATTAAACGCCAGCAACTTACCTCATCGACACGTTTTAAAACAGTTGTTCCAACCATTTTTGTCTAGTTTTGTTTTTCAATAGTATTCCTCTTAAGAATTTGTTTAAATAAATTCGATCGCTTCGAGTTTTGCTTCCTTTTTTTGTTCCTTTAATTGAAAGTTTTTATTGTTCCCAGAATTTTCTTCGAGGAGAATAAAAACTGACACACAAATACAGAGACGTTTTCTTCAGACTTGACACACAAAAATTTGTTTGAAGTTTTTTTTTTCTTGACTCGATTACATTGATGATATACACACAAATTTGTTAATTATTTTTCGTTGTTTTTTCTTTCTTTTTGTTGATTGCACTTTTTGTTGTAGAAAACGTAGGTTTCCTTTGTTAAATATATAAATTAAAAAAATCTTTTTCTTTTTAAAACGAAAATCTCTGCTCTGCTCCTCTACCTACGATCTGAACTCGAGCCGTTGCTGTTTGCTTTTGAATAAATGGCGTTTGAATTGTCGCGCACTTGATTCGTTGAGTTGCGTATCTTTCGTTAAATCTGTCAGCAGCTGAATGTGTGTAGATGTGTGTCTGGGTGTGTGTGTTGTTTTGTTATTGATTTAACGAAGAGCGAGAGCGCGCTCTCTTTCTCCCTCTCTCACTTTCGTGTTTTGTTGCATCATGTGGTTGACAAAGTTGTTTTTGTTTTGTTAACAATTGGCGGGCAATTAGCTGTGAGGGATTTTGTGAGGGAATTGTTGTTGTTCTTTATGTAAATGCTACATATGGTGGTATATTTGTTGTAGTTAGTTAATTATAATAATTTTGATAATGGAAAATATATAATTTAACAAATATTTCTCTCATGAAGTTATTTAACGAAGACCAACAGAGTTGTATTTTGTGATTTGTTGGACAATTTGAAAAGGGCGTCCCTAAAGAAAAGGCGTACACATATAAATTAATCGAATTTTGTACAATTTGTTGAATGATATTTTAAAACATTGATTTCAATTGATATTTTTAAAAAGTAACTAAAAAGTAATGGACTTTAATCTATGTCGATTTTAATTTATCCATTAAAAAATATATAATTCATGTTGATAACTTTCAAAATTAATTATTTTTTATAAATAATTGGAAAACATTGGTGATGTATTTTCGACATTTACAGTAATTTCTCGCATTCTAATAATGAAATTTTATTTAAAAAGTTCATCTTCAATCGATTTGAAAAATAAATAAATGAAAAATTGGTTATGTTATTACATATTTGACAGCGAAAAAATATCTGAATTCCAAATATTTTATAATGTACCATTTTCAAGAATGTACCATTTTCACTTCGATAACCACTTTCCCTTCATGATATCGAAACATACTATACGGGAACATACTATGGTATATAATTATTAAAACGACATTTATAGTACGTTTAAATTTAAATGGATTTCGTTAACCCAGTGGGTTTCAATTGTCAATTCCTTTGCATATATGTGAAATAAATCCTCATAAAGTAGGTTAACTCGGTAAAGAGTTCTAATGTATATGCCATTTTACATTAGAACTTTTTACCGGGTTAACCTTCTCTATGAGGATTTTTTCGACATCTATACAATGGAATTGACAATTGAAACCCACTGGGTTAACGAAATCTGGTACAATGTATAGCTATCAACTGATCACAATTTTTTTCAAGGTCGTTTGTTCTATCAAATCGAAATAAATGTTTTCGGTATGTGTGTGCATTGTTTTGAATACTATATGAAATCAATTTAAATAAAATTTAAATATATTCAAATAAATTTGAAATGAAAATTATTTTCTACCGTGTACGTTTGGAATTGATTACTTTGTGATGGATGAAAAAACATTTCATGATATTTGCTACTGGATTTTGGAACCTTTCATTCATTTTCGAGTTTTTAGTTACGTGTTGAAAAAATGACGAACCACAACCTGTTACGAATATTTATTTTATATTATATTGGACAGAAGAAGCCACTACCTACAGAGTTGTTTTTTTGTAATTCATCTCAAGTTATCCTACTTTGTATTATTGTACCATGATTTTTATATATTTGCCGTTTTTTTGAGTTTTTTTGCTCCATGACACAAGGAATTATGATCGATTTTGATTGATTACTTAAGGTACTACCTTTTATATTGGGCGCTATCGCATCTATAATATGACGGATTTTGGTTTACTTGCATAAATAAAAGTCTAATGGTGTCAAATCGGATGAACTTGGCGTACAATTGGCATGACCACGGCCAAGAAAAGTCTCTTGCAATTATGCCATATTCGCTCAAGTTGTGTAGCATGTGACACAGTATTGTTGAAACCACATTTTTTCCAAGTTGTATTCTTCAATAACAAGCAACAAAAGTCGGCTCTTAAAGCATCATATGTTGCAGTGGCACTATGTCCACTATGTCGCCGATAACCCCATAAAGTACATATATATTCTAAATAGGAATAAAATTCTGTGTCGATTTATGTCTGACCGTCTTTCTATCCGTCTGATTTTTTTATCTTGTTCCATACTCTCCTAGCTTCATGCATAAACAAAGTTTTAATCAAAAATATTTATTTATTAATAAACTAGCATATGCCCGCAAGCTCGTTAGCGGATGTGTCAAAAAAAAAAAACAAAAAAAAAAAAAAAAACGATCTACACATTAATATCGACTATAAATTTAATTTGAATACCAAATTTCATTATTCGAGCTCTTAAGGTTCGCCCAAATCCAAATTTTACCAAATTTAGTTCCATTTAGCACACATTATTTTCATAAGTGCACTCCTCAACCATCCAACAAAACTTCCTGCATACCCCGATCCTGAACCCCCCCAATAATTTCAAATTTCAGGATTCCAACTCTATTGGTTCACCCACAATTCAAATTGTATTACATTTAGTACATAGTACCAATTTTCAAAACATCCTACTTACCTGAAATCTACACCCACATTGATCCTAAATCCAAGTTTCGAACTCTATCGGTTCATCCACAATTCAAATTGTACCAAATTTAGTACACAGTATTACGAATTTCCAAAACCTAATTCATACCCTAAACCTACACCCCCACAGTGATCCTAAATCCTAGTTCAAACTCTATAGGTTCACCCCCAATTCAAATTGTACCAAATTTAGTACAAATTTCTAAAATTTCCTACATATCTCAATCTTACAATCCAACAGTGATCCTAAATTCAAGTTTCAGGATTCCAATTCTATCGGTTCACCCACAATTCAAATTGTACCTACTTACCCCACTCCTACACCTCCATAGTGGTGCTAAATCAAAATTTCAGAATTCCGACTCTATCGGGTCACCCACGATTTAAATTATCCTACATATCTCAATCTTACACCTCAACAGTGATCCTGACTCCAAAGTTTTTTGTTCCCGCTCTATCGGTTCACCCACATCCAAATAGTACCAATTATAGTACGATTTAGTACTTTTCGTACACATCAGTAAATAATTTACAAAACTACGTACATATCCCAACCCTACACTCCGACGGTAATGTTAATTTCAAATTTCGGGATTCCAGCTCGATTTGTACCTCCAAATATAGTGTCATATAGTACTTTTCGTACACATGAGTACACGCTTTCAAAACCATCTTCTTAAATAGACCTACATATCAACCCTAATTGCATTCCAAATTTCATGTTTTTAGCTCTATTCATTCACATGCTACGAAATTGTACCAATTTTAGTACATTCGCATACTTATAGTTCAAATGTCTAAAAAACCCTTTGCTATATCTATTATACACTCCCTCATTTAAAATTTAAGAGTTCTAGCTCTACTGCTTCGAAAAATACAAATGGTATCTCATTTAGTACTTTTCGTACCGTTCTAGTGCGAATTTTCAAGAACCCAGCCTTATCTGTCACCTTTGGACCAAGAGTGACCCTCACCCAACATTTCTAGCTTCAGTTTTTGTCTGGGCATTAATGAATCGTTAATTCAGTCAGTCAATCAATCACTTTACTCTTTTATTAGTATAGATTGAAGAAAAAAATCTCTGGCAATATCTGGGTTAACGATCCATTTTTCAATGTCAGATTTCAAATGAAAACTATATGTATTTCTTGAAGAAGACGCAGAGATCTTCTCATTGAAGAGGAAAACTTTTCAAAAAAAAGACCAACATATTTTTACATTAAAAACCATATATTCTCAGAGAAGAACAAAATGTTCTAATATAGAAAATGAAGAGGTCTTCTGGCAAAAGTCTTGCCACAGAAGATCCTGGTATACTGATTTTGAATATCTAATAGTGTTGCTATTGAAAGAGAGGTTTTCTCATAGAATACCAAGAGATCCTCTCATAGAAAACCAAATGAACTTCTCTTAGAATACAAAAAAATCTACTCATAGAAGAGAAAAGTCTTTGTAAAGAATACCAACATATTGTCCCATTAAAGAAAGATACCCCTTCTTGAAGCGGTTTTATTTTAGAACTTGCAAAATAAGTCTATAGATTGGAAATACATTTATCACTGAAATAGCCCTTTTTTAAACCTTGAACAAAAAGCAAAAGAAACAAACAGACGAACAGTGTTAATTGAATTTTAAACACCTTCCATTGACTTATCATTCAACAATTTATGATTTCCGCCAAATCCCCAAAACAAAACTGAAGTTAAAAATGCAAAAAAATAAAAACGACAAAACGGCCGACAGCCATTAGCATTGTTATTACAAGACAAGACAAAATGCCAACCAACAACATCGTCAGCAGCAGCAACAACAACAATAGAACAGTAGCAATAAGGTACATAGTTCTCGAATCAAAAATTCTAACAAGAACATTGTTGTCTTTGTTATGGTTTTTTTGTTTTTGGTTTTCATTCTTGCCAATCGACCATTAGCACTTATCATTTGCATCTTCCAAAAATATCTTTGCAAAGAATCTGTGTGGTTGGCTGCTGGCAGAGGAAATGCAGGCAAAAACAAAATAAAACACAGAAAAACAAAAAAACGGCCAAAAGATCTTTGCTGAACTGTGTTTGTTTTTTTGTGTCGTTGCGCTGCGAGCCGTTGATATTCACAAATATTTGAATGTAAATATG